TAACATAACCTTTTAATACTTTCATGTACCTTTCAAATGGGTACATCCACCTCAAATAAGCTGGACCGCAATGTTTGATCTCTCTAACCAAATGCACAAGCAAATGAACCATGATATCAAAAAATGAAGGTGGAAAGTGCATCTCTAGCTGACACAGTGTAACAATAATTTCATTTTGCAATTCATCTAATTTGTCTGGATCAATAACTTTTCCACAAATTGCATTGAAAAAGAAACAAAGTCTTATGATGGTGTATCTCAACTTTTTAGGCAATATGTCTCTAACAGCCACTGGCAATAGTTGTTGCATTAAGACATGACAATCATGAGACTTCAACCCCACCAACTTTAAATCTTGCATATTAACAAGTCTACTGATATTTGATGAATACCACTGTGGTACCTTTACTCCACGTAAACACTCATAAAAACTTATTTTCTCCTTTCTTGATAAAGTATGAGCAGCGGGAGGCAAATATGTTTTCTTACCCTCGGAACGTGATGCTAATGTAGGTCGTATACACATTTCAACCAAATCCAATCTAGCATTGAGTCCATCTTTAGACTTACCTTTTATGTCTAAAAGAGTTCCAACCAGACTATCACATACATTTTTCTCCACATGCATCACATCAATACTATGTCTCACATCTAGTGTCTTCCAATATGGAAGATCAAAGAATATAGATTTCTTTTTCCACGGACTCTTCTCATTTGTAGATTTTGATCTCTTTCCTCTTTGAGATTTAAGCTTCTGAGTCTTACCAATAGTAACTTGAAGGCATTCAACTCGTTCATATACTTGATTCCCAGTCAATGGTTGTGGAGCATCTGTATAGTCTTGCACCCCATTGAATGATTTTTTTAATTTTCGATAAGGGTGAAATTTATCAAGAAATCTCCGATGCCCCATATATACCGTCTTTCTACCATAAACAAGTTGATGATAACATGTATTATCTTCACATATGGGGCATGCCTTATGACCTTTGACACTATATCCAGACAGATTTCCATACGCTGGAAAGTCATTGATTGTGCAAAAAAGCATTGCATGCAACTTAAAAGTCTCCTTTCGGTATGCGTCAAACACTAACACACCTTCATCCCATAATTGCTTCAAGTCATCAATTAAAGGCGCCAAATAAACATCTATATCATGACCTGGTTGTTTTGGCCCAGAAATCATCAAACATAATAATATGTATTTTCGTTTCATACACAACCAAGGGGGTAGATTATAAATTATCAACATAACTGGCCACGAGCTATGCTTGCTACTTAGATTCCCGTGGGGTTAATACCATCAGTACAAAGTCCAAGTCTAAGATTTCTCGCCTCGTCACCAAATTCAGGAAATGCATTATCAAATGTTATCCATTGAGAAGAATCAGCCGGGTGTCGAAGCTTGCCATCAGAAATCCTTTGATCTGCATGCCATGTTAAGTTCTTCGCATCACTTGGATTTGCAAACAGGCGCTTAAATCTTGGAAGAATTGGGAGATACCACAAAACTTTAGCTGGTGGCCTTTTCAAACGTACTTTACCAGCAACATTCTCGCTTGTTTTATAACGAGATGCCCCACATATTGGACATGCATGCAAGTCTTTGTAATCATTCCTAAACAATATGCAATCGTTAGGGCAAGCATGTATCTTTGTATATCCCATACCCATTGGACACAAAATCTTTTTGGCATCATACGTACTATTGGGAAGTTCATTACCATCTGGAAGCATGTCCTTTACTATTTCAAGTAAGGCAGTAAAGCTCTTGTCGCTCCACCCATTCCCAGCTTTCAAGTTGAATAATTTTAATATAGCAGATAATCGGGAATATTTACTACACCCCGGCCATAACGGTTGTTTTGAATCATTCAATAATTCATCTAACTCATTTGACCGATTGGTAAACTCTTCTCCAACATCGCGAAACATTTCATCCAACCGATCTTCAGACTCATTATCTTCATTGTCAACATACACATTAGATGTCGTAGACACATCGCGTTCACCGTGCCAAATCCATTGTGTATAATATGGATTAATCCCATTAACGATTAGATCATCTTATATGTCCTCTTCACCTAACTTTTTCTGATTACAACATTTCTTACAAGGACACAACCACCTGTTATTACTATTCGGAAGGTTACTCTTTGCAAAGTCTAAAAATTTTCTAACTCCATCTTCGTATTCCGTACTAAGTCGATTAGCTATCATCCAACTTTTATCCATCACGTACAAGCCAATCTAGATAATAATAACTCTAATTAAACATTTGTTAACACTATGTTAACAAATTTCGATAATAATAACTGCTACAACAACTACAATAATTTTAGCATTTACATAATGCAAACAAGTAGCATTTAATGGACGCAAACAATGAGCATTTATTCATCACGTACAAGCCAATTTAGGTAAAATAATAATAATCATTTGTCAATTCTAGATGCTTTCTTATACATCCTAACTAACCAAAGAACATGTCAAACACAATGTGAATTGAATCTTGCTAAACACAATAGACAAATTGCGTACCCGAGACTGGCGGAGAACAGTGGAGGAGGAGCGCAGCAAGGACTGAACTTAGTCAAACCGGATTGACGCCTAACAAAAAATAAACCAATCAAATATTTTCGAAGTAGCAATATAAATTATAGGCTAATTTTAGCCTAAGTAATCGCAACCTCTATATGGCAACCATTCAATGGTATGTGATACCCAATATTTTATAGTGTATCAAATACAATATATTACAGTATGTATCATTTAGAAATTTATTGCCAAACATAACAATAATACTTCTTTACATTCATTAGATACTATTCATGAATTGAATAAGCATATCATGAATTTAAAAGGAATAATTAAATCAACAAGAGTACGCATTCAAGTCAAAGAAGAAATCAAACACTCGTTTTGACTAAAAATATATTGAGAAAATTATAATTTATGTCCCTCCATAATACCTCAACTATTAATGTCACTTCTAATAAACATGGTACATTAGTGCAATAGAGAGTGCACCGACACAAATATGAGAGTGCACTTACTAATAAACATGGTACATTAGTGCACCAACGACAAAAAATTAGTGCACTTGCGGTATGTATCAATAATATCTCTTGAAATGGTATATAGTTAAACATAAAATTCTCAATAATTCATAAAATTTCGAAATATACACACAACAATTCATAATTTAGCCAATAACTTATAAAATCAAAAATATATACACAATTATTCCTAAAATTTCGAAATATACAAAATAATAATTTATAAAATTCAAAATTCAAAAAATACAAAAGAATAATTAAATATATATATATATATATATATATATATATATATATATATATATATATATATATATATATATATATATATATATACGTACCTGCCGTATATGCTCGATTGACGTCCGGCGTCCGGCGGCGTGGCAGCGCGGGCGAGCGGCAAGCGGCGAGGCAACGATCGGCAGTGGCAAGCGGCGAGGCGGCGGCGAGCGGCGAACGTCGAGCGGCGAGCGGCGAACGGCGACAGGCGAGCGGCGAACAGCGAACGGCGAACGGCGAGGAGAGATCAGATCTGATCAGAACGGTGGCGGTGGTGGAGGGTTTTGGTGGCGTTTCGACGATGAGATGATGAGAAGATGGTGGAGGGTTTTGGTTTACGTTGAAATGAGCTTCAATTCGATCTGATCTGTAATTATTTTATACTATACGGCGTCGGCAATATACGTAGCCGACGCCGTATACTATATATATATTTTTTATTTTTTTAAATATGAGTATACGGCGTCGGCAATATACGTAGCCGACGCCGTATACTATATATTTTTTTTTTATTTTTTTTAATACGAGTATACGGTGTCGGCAATATACGTAGCCGACGCCGTATACTGTATATATATTTTTATTTTTTTTTAATACGAGTATACGGCGTCGGCTATATACGTAGCCGACGCCGTATACTATATATATATATATATATATATATATATTTTTTTTTTTTTTTTAATTCGAGTATACGGCGTTGGCTTTATACTAGCCGACGCCGTATACTATATTTATTTTTAATTTTTTTTAATAGGATATACGGCGTCGGCTTTATAAATAGCCGACGCCGTATAATATATTTATTTTATTTTTTTTATTACAGATACGGCGTCGGATTTACCAAAAAGCCGACGCCATATGTATTTTTAAAAAAATAAAAATTAAATTTAAATATTTAACGTCGGTTTTTCGAAAAACCGACGTTATAATAGCGACGTTAAATCCTTTTTCTGTAGTAGTGTTGAGTCATTAAGGGTTTAAGGATTACAATTACCATTTGAAGTCATTAAGAATTATAATTATTGTTTTGGCCATTAAGAATTATAATTATTATTTAAGTTAATTATGTTTTTAATCTATTAATAATTTTCAGGGCCTTAACAATAATATTCTGTTTTCTTAATGATAAGCAATGTACATAGTTATGTTGCCTTTACATTATTGGTAATTTGGTTATACCTTAATTTTAGTCTCTGATTCATTACAGTCTTGATTAATTATTATGTGGTAAATTGAGATTAGTATTTAGCATCCCTTAATTACAGTTTTACATTTATTGTAATTATTATTAATTTACATTATTAATTAATGTTATTAAGTTTAGGCGCTAATCTCATTTATTATCTTTCATAATAATTACTCATTCATGGTAATCTACTATGTTTGGTACATTGGTAAGATTACTCATGTCACTTCATTTTTCCATTATTATTAATAATGGTAATTAAGTGTTACCATTAAAATGTTACGTACCATTGGGCGATTCAACTAAACTCTCCATGAAGATGGGAGATTTTGGAGGCTTTCTTCGCTATCGCTGTTAGTGCTATCGATAGATGCAGTTTGCATCATTAAGGTACGCAAATCATTAATTTTTTTATTTTTTATTTTTTATTTATTTTTTATTTTATTTATTTTTTTTTTTTTTTGAAAAATTCATGGCAAGTTTTTGAAATGAGCAAGATCAATGATCATCACAGTTACATCATCCAAACTACCCTTTGTCACAGCGAGGCTTGCAAGTTTCTTACAAGCATCCATAAGTCCACTCTTTTCTTCATTTTCTTTCCAGCTATCAACAACACTTCTCTTACAACATGGAGAGCAGCCTGCCCTTATACTCGATTGGGCCAGTGAAATTCGTCGAGCCTTCAATGGGCTTTCGTTTTCTCTGCTGAATTCATCGTCTGTTTCTTTCCAGGCATCAACACTTTTAGTAGAGCATGGAGAGCAGCCTGCCCTTATACTTGAATGGGCCAGTGAAATTCGTCGAGCCTTCAATGGAGTTTCGGTTTCTCTGTTGAATTCATTATCTGTTTCTTTCCAGTTATCAGAACTTCTGTTAGAGCATGGAGAGTAGCCTCCTACTCTACTAGACTTGGCCAATGAAATCCTCAGAGACTTTTGTACAGGACTTCCATTTTCAGTGCCAAAATCGCATTCGTTTCCTTTGTTTGACTTCACTAGAGAAATTCTCTTTAGCTTTGAAGAGGGACTGGTGCTTATACAATCAAATTCAAACACGTTTTCTTTTAAATCAGCATCTTTTGGTCCCGGTTGACATGATTGCATCACCATATCTATGGCTTCCTGGTTCTCAACCTTGTCCCAAAGTCCATCTGAAGCTAAAACAAGATATTGCATATCTGCAGTAAGGCACATTCTCTTTGTGTCAGGCTCGGCCACTACCCAGTCCTTCAAATGAGCATCTCCAATGCTTCTGGAAACCGAGAGTACACCATGAACTCTCCAAGCTCCTCGGTGAATCTCAACGTAGCCTCCCTTATCCTCGATCCTTCTCCGCTCATCCTCTTGTCCAGCTCTATGATCTCTCGTAAGGACTTCAGCTACTCCACTCCTACAAAGAACTGCTCTGCAGTCCCCTAAATTGGAAACTATGATCTCCTTTCCTTCAATCAAAGCAGTGACGCAGCAGGCACCACTGCATATTCCCTTTTTCAAGAATTCAGAGTCAGTTTTCAAATACCCAGCCATAATGGCATCTTCTTTGGCTGAACTGCCAGGTGAATTCTTCAGCATGTCCAGAATATTAGAATGCAAATTCTCTGCTACAAATTCAGCAGCTTTGCTCCCTACAGTTTATTTTTATTGGTAACTACTGTTATAGCTGTTAACCATTTTAAACTAGTCACATTTTATCCTTAAGAATATGGAAACATTAAGATATGAATTACCATGTTTGTCATTATTAAAATGTTCATAGTGATTATAATGCTCCTTATTACTATTAATATTTTAATTAATGATAACATTATTTTTATGGTATTAAGTCATGAATTGTTTCCAAATTGATTTATGTGACATTTATTTTCGGACTTAAGTTTTATTACATTTTAAAGTTATATCCAAAAATGTTTTAAAGTTTAACAGTTTTAACTATTGTTTTTTTCATATTTAGTCTCCAAATTAACATAATACTATTATTATGGCTATTTATTGCCTTTTTGGTTTATTTGCGATTTTCTGCCATTAATAATATTATTCATTGAGTTTTGGAGAGTGATTTTTTAATCAATTCAGATTTTGAAAAAACATGTTTTCTTGGCAATCTATCACATAATTTATTTAGTATTTGAATTATGATTTTAGATGTCATTGCCCACATTTAGTTAAGTATGAATAATTGAATACACATTTGGTGTTTTTCATACTCTTTAAATTGTTTTATGCATTCAATCACATTAAGTGCATAATATTAAGTTTAATTATGCAATTAGAATTTGTGAGATTTTTATTTATGAATAAAACATATACTATGGCTTGATATTTGTAAATTTAACCTGTTTCTCACAAAGTTGATTTTATGGAATTAAAACTTTTTCACGTGGGCTTATAGTTTTTAACCTTTCAAGTATATATCTATTACATTATTATTCAAATTTTGGATTTCTTTTGGTTAGAAATCATACTAGGTTTGAATATTAATTGTATACTTTGAGGTTATTGCTCATATTTAAAATTGTTTTGGTTTATGCAATTTATTTAGAATATATGAGTTTAATGTTTGATTTTATGCATACTTGTCCACCGCATAATATTCTATTTTTTTAAATTATGCAATTTCATTATGCCTTTAGAAATGCATACTTTAGGATGGAATTATATTAGTTCCTTATTAAGTCGGACCTATGCATAAACTTTAGTTGCGGTAGTGCCTGAATTTGAGCACGTTTAGTCCGTTAATTTAGTTCATGGATTTAAAGCCTTATCCATAAGTGAATCTACAATTTTATAGATCTCCCAAACGATTTTACTTCAAACATGAAAACAAATGACTTAGGGAAGTTTCTTGGGGAGGAATACTAGTTCTATGGCCCTGGCTTAAAAGTCTTGTTGCTACTAGTCCCCTAGCGACGCTACTCTGTCTAAGGAGTTGGTATTTAACCGAGCTTCGTCTCGACCAACTTTCCTGGGAGTATACCTAATAATTGTATATCATGTGTTGGTTTAATTCGTTTGTTAGGCTTTAACTTCCCCTTTTCCCGAGTGATTACAATTTTTAGATTAATTAAAGAGTAGCCACAACATCTTTAATCTATATCTATATCTATATATATATAAAAGTAAAATCCTCCTAACAAATTTTCCCCCCAAAACTTTTGTAGTAAAACTTATTTGGTAAGTAAATGTCAAATGGAAATTAAATAAAATCTATTAATTGGTAATATTATATATGGTATTATATTCTATAATATAATATAATTGATAATATTATTGTTCAAGTATAAAATAAAATTAAAATTAAAATAATAACAATAACAACAACAACAACAACAACAACAACAATAATAATAATAATAATAATAATAATATAATAATAATAATAATAATAATAATAATAATAATAATAATAAAACTATATACAAAATTTAAAAATAAAAAAAAATTTAAAAAAAAGGTGGCTCACCTTAGTAAATGATGTGGGATCATTTTGATCCCACATTGAAAATGTTTGGAATGAGGAGCTCTAGATCTCCTCTATATAAGAGGAGCAATGCTCATGTAACAACCATACAATTGCTTGTCCATCAATGTGGGCAAGTATTGAGAAGTCCAAAGGCTTTTTATAGTACTACTATTGACCCGACAAATTATGTTGTGGAACTGTGTCCACCTTGCAAGGTAGACATGGTTCAAAAATAGTTCATAATTATGAATATAATAATCAATATATAGTTCAAAAATTATGAACATATAGTTCTATAATTATGAACATAATGTTGTGAACATAATTATGAACACATAGTTATCTAATTATGAATATAGAGATTCAATAATTGTGAATATGAAGTTCAAAAATTATGAATATATATATCTTTATAATTATGAACATATAATTCAATAATTATGAACATAGAGTTCTGTAATTATGAATATAGAGTTCAATAATTATGAATATGAAGTTTAAAGATTATGAATATATAACTTTATAATAATGAACTTATAGTTCAGTATTTATGAACATAGAATTGCAAGGTGGACACGGTTCCACAACCTATTAAAACCCAACGAGTCAAATGGCTCTTATTTAAAAAAACTTATCTTAATGGATTCTTAATTTTTTTTTTTTAATTTATTAGGGGGTTTGGGAATGATTAACCAAAAATGTATATGAGTTGTTTTAGTTTTTAGCAGTTTCGAGCAAATTGTTAAGTTATTAAATAATATTTTTGGTGTTTTGATAAAATATAAAATGTTAAACAGGTGAATTTCTTAAAATTCTGACGAATCTGCCATATACTCAAATAACAATAACAACAACAACAACAACAATAATAATCCAAACAAAACTGTATACAAAATAAAATTAAAATTAAAAAGAAAAAGAAAAAAAAAAGACAAAGGGGTGTCACGGGCTCCCTTTGTAAATGATTTTGAGATCATTTTTATCCCACATTGAAAATGTTTGAAAAGAGAGAGCTCCTCTATATAAGAGGAGCAATGATCCCCTTACAAACATAATTTCTTGCCCATCAATGTGGGCAAGTATTGAGATGTCAAAAGGTTCTTATTTAAGAAGCCTCAACTTTGTCTTCTTATTTTAGTTTGTATTTATTTGTTATTAATGGGGGTTGTGAAAGATTAACACAAAATGTATGTGTTGTATTAGTTTTTAGCCCTTTTGAGAAAATTACTAAGTTACTATATAATTTTTTGGGGGTTTTGATTAAAGTTAAAATGTTAAAATGACGAATTTGTTACAATTTTGGCGAATTTATCAATAATCAAATAAATAATAATAATAATAATAATAATAATAATAATAATAATAATAATAATAATAATAATCCTATATATAATAAAGCCATATGGTCTTGTGAAAATTAAATGGTGATAATTAACATTTAATTTTCACAAGACCATAATAATATTGTTATTGTGAAAATTAAATGTTGATAATCAACATTTAATTTTCACAAAACCATAATAATATTGTTAATTATAATAACAATAATAATAATAATAATAATTGCAATAATAATTATAATGATAATAATTTACACGAACAGTTTCTATCTAATATATATATATATATATATATATATATATATATATATATATATATATATATATATATATATATATATTTATTTATTTATTTATTTATTTATTTATTTATATTTCAATTTCTACGCAAATTATTGTGAGGAACAATGGTCCACATAATTGTATGGATCATGAATATTAAATACATTTTTAATATATTAAAAATACATTATTTTTATATTGAAAGTACCTTACATACATATATAATGTACCCTTAGTATATTTAAAATATACTTTTTATTGCATGCAACCCCAAAGTTCATAAGTTTGAAATTAATATATGGCATAGCTAGGCGGCCTAATATTTAAGATTGTTGATGTGCATATTGAGAACTACGGAGACAAAGATGCGTTATTCGTGGATTCATCGGATACTATCCAACAACACTCTCCAACTTAATTGACGTGAAGTGGTTTAGTAACATTAAGATTATATTCTCAAATTATTAGTTCTCATCTTTTATTGATTACACACTTAATTCGATAGTATTTGGAAGAAAAAAATCAATGTTCGAACTAAGATTGTGATTTTGGTCTTTAAAGGTCAATTGTATGTTGCTACATCTAGAGTTAGAAATCTCAAAAGTCTAAAAATTTTGATCCGTGGTGACTCTAAAATTGTAATTCAATTACTATTGTAGTTTACTAAGTTCTTAAAAATTTGTAATATTAAATACTATGTACTAAATTTTTAATATAGTTTAAGATTTGTAGTAATCACCCACCTTAAATATTATTTTAATTGTAAATATATTTATGTTCACAATTTTATCATAGGAATTCACACATAATAATTATTAAATAACAAAAATTTTATATATGAATAAACCTCATATAGGGTATATTTTTATAACATATTTTCCGTGCATCGCACGGGACAAATACTAGTTTACTAAAAAAAAAAAAATTGTCTAAAGTTCAAATCACATAAAGATGGCAATGATAAATGTCTAGTGATCCTATAATTTTAATTAGTTGGGGAGTAGCCACAGCATCCTTAATCAGTTAAAATTATATATTGAGTTGTTGGGTCACATAAAATTTGATAAATGTCTAGTGATCTTATAATTTTAATTAGTTGGGGAGTAGCCACAACATCCTTAATCAGTTAAAATTATATATTGAGTTGTTAAGGTCACATAAAGTTCTAGACATATCAATTGTGATTAATTGTATCTAATATGATGGAATTTAGCCCACATGAAATTTCGTTATATTTGTATGATTAATTAGGATGAAATACTGAACTATGATCATAATTTAGCCCACAGGCAATTATGTATCGGAATGTAGTTTAGTAGGTTTATCAGTGATGATAGGAATAAAGATTCACCTCTATCATGAAGCTTAATTTTATGATGTAAACTTTAGGTCATATATCTTAATTTGTCCACAGGGATTAAGATAAGGAACATGATCTCTTAAGTTTTTTTTTTTTTTTTTTTTTTTTTTTTTTTTTTTTTTTTTTTTTTATAATTGTATGGTTGCAATGAATCTAATTGAATTAAAACTTTAGCCCACAGGCAAGTTTTATGTCACTTGATTCTTCAACTCATTTGCTAATTGTTTCATCATAAAATTTCAGTTGGATCTAATTGAGTAGAACTTTAGCCCACAGGCAAGTTTTATGTCACTAGATTCTTCTGACTATTTAGTAATTGAGATAAAATACTCTCATAAGTGTTTAATTGAATTTAATAGAATTAAAACTTTAGCCCACAGACAAGTTTTATGTCAATAAATTCATCAACCCATTAGATAATAACTTTATCCCAATTTCTTAGAATTTACAAATTTAGTTCAATTATAATTCTAAGTTTCATGGTTTGCATTGGCAAAACATGTATTTAGTCACTTTCCAAAATTTAGATATACCTTTTATTAATTATTTTTCACGAAGCTTACTGGTTATTTGGACTAACTATAGTAAGTTGCGTGGTATGATATACCTCTTATGGATTCCAATAATAAAATATATCTTCTGAGCCGAATTCCAACTTGGTTTTGGAAGGAGTATTTTATTATTTTAGTATGTCCAACTATGGTGGAGAATCATGTCCTCATTAATTATTCATTTAGTTGGACTATAATTGGAACCGAATATTGATTATTTAGTATGCCCAACTAATGGTGGAGAATTATATCTTCATTATTTAGTTGGTCAAATCAATTATGAGTGTTATATCATTAATTTGGCTAAAGAATATCTTAATCAGTGGGAGTGATCATTTAGGAAAGATCATCAAGATACTCCACTAAAGCTGATGGATTTAATTGTTTTCACACATTCCAAATTGGATTGTGCGTCTAGCAATAAGTCTAAAAGTTTCACAAGTATTAATTTAGTTCTTTGTTCTTATAATTCATAAGTTCGTTTCATTGAACGTTTGGTTGTACAACATATTTATGAAAATGTTGTTACAATATTAATGAATTTATTAGAACGAAAGCATTTAACTTGTGGTGCACTGTCAATTAATAAATTCTTTAGCGATTGATAGTCTTTAGTTTCTTCAAAATTGATCCTGGGCCATTTTTGGTTTGTAAGGCTCAAAATAATTTTGTAAGACATAATAAGTAAGACTTGTAAATGTTCAATTAATTTCGAGGTGGACCTTGAGATTATTTGGGAAGTTGGTGTATGTTTAAGATTCCAAATTATTGACTTAGACCTTATGGTTTATGTCATTGGAATGTTTCTGTGACTACTATCTTTTGGCTATCTTAATGAGTGGGAGTGACAGACGTGTCAACTCCAAGCTCTTAGCCGTTAGAGGTAGTGTTTATGTAAACTTATAAAGAAGTCATAGAATATAGTTAGCATTATGCTAACATTAAGAGATCTCTACTTAAGGCATGCTTCTAAGATTTTAGAGATCATACGGTGAATTTGGATGGTTTCTTCTTTTCAGTTGTGCACATAATATATTTTGAGAAACATCCCTTAAGGGACTAAGAATAAACGTAGGGTTTATTCATAAAGAACCTAAGTTACGGAATTTAAAATGCATGTGATCATAGAAGATATTACTCACTTGATTAGTAGATGACGTATTACTATGGTTCATGTATTTTGTTCTTTAATGAAGGTTGTGCCAGTACTTGCACCAAGTGGGAGAATATAAGTATTTTCCCTAATATAATATATTATAATATATTGTATTAATTAAGTGGTTATGGTGCAAGTGGAAGATTAAGTCAGTTAGTGGCTTAATCTGTTAAGCAAAATAGTCCTCCCACAGCTCCCGTGTTCAGGATACACGCACCATCGAGTATTCGGGAGAGAAGTGGTAGACAAAATACTAGCCTTTATTCTGCAGGTTTACCATCTCGTGGCAATACCAATGACTATGGTTAGGAATATTCAGGCGATCCTAAAGCTTCCGCTACTACGAGACAGATTACTCGTTACTACAGTTCATGTTAGACTAAATTTATTGTTACTACAGTTCATGTTAGACTAAATTTATTATCTAACATTATTATCAACGATAATAGTATTAACCATTTTTATTATCTTTATTCTAATACTGGCCAACCTCATACCACTTCAATACTTTAACCATTACACCACTCAACCCACTTATCTTTAATAAGCTTTAACAATACTTAAGCCTTAACCACCCACTTCTCACAAAATAAAAACAAAACTTCTAACGGCAGTTTACCCAAGCTTCAAAGCCGACGTCCAAACTGCAACGCCGGTCGAGCTCCACTGCCGGAGAAGGGTCAAGGTCACCGGAGGAAAACTGACCTCCTGTTGGAGCTGCCCCACTCGCCGGGAGATCAAACCACCACACCGACCGCCGGATCTGCTAGCTTGCTGTCGGAACAGGGGAGCCATCGCCAAGAACCATCACTGACATCCGTTACCACCTCGTCTCCATCCACATGCTCTGTTCTCGCTGGAGAAGAACACCCAAGCTCGCTGCTGCCGCTGCGACGCCGGGAACGAAAGGGGCTGCTACGCTGGAGGAAGGAAGCTGTCACCGTCGCTGGAAAAGAAAGGGAGGAGACAGAAGAACGGATGTCCATGGTCGTGAAGCTTGAGCTCGCCGGAACTCCTCTACACCGCCACCACTTCTGCCGTTGCTGCTCATCGATCGATAGCTAAGAGAGAGACGAAAGATAAGCAGAGAGAGAGAGAGCAAGACGGGATAGGGGTTGATTGGTTTATGATGGGTCGTTATATCGTGCACCGCGGTGCATAATCGATTATGCACCGCGCGTCAGACACTACAATGTATCTAAACCGACACTGGCTCACGTATTATTTTTATATTATCAAATGAAACTACAGTTATATCAAATGATACTGTAGTTGTGGTGAAATGAAACTACAGTATATATAAAATGAAACTAAATAACATTTCACATATTTGAGTGTATATTGTACAATGAAGCTGTAATTATATTCAAATGATCATGTAGTTGTGTTTTAATGAAATTATAGTGTATATAAAATAAAATTAAATAACATTTTCACATATTTGAGTGTATAAATATTGAATGAAACTGTAGTTATATCGAAATGAAACTGTAGTTGTGTTGAACTGAAACTGCAGTGTATACAAAATGAAACTGAAGAACATAGTTATTTTTTGCGAAGATTCTGTTTCTTTTCATTAAATAAAACAACGTCGTTTTGACAGTGTTGGTTTAGACATACTGTAGTGTCTGACGCGTGGTGCATAATCGATTATGCACCGCGGTGCACGATATAATTTGCCGGTTTATGATAATTCCCCACAATATAACATATATATAATCCTTATTTTTATTTGGGTAGGGTTACTATATTCAAGTTGGGCTAAAGTGTAGAAGATTGGATGACAATATTGGGCTAGACACTTAGATTCAAGACTAGCTATAGAATAATTATATATGGGTTCAAGGTAGTCTAGATGGTAAAATTATTTGGGCTCCAACAAAAATCATCGGACTTAAAATTAAATCATTTTGGCTTGAAACATTTAAGACTTAGAATGATAATGGCAATTTCGTCTCAAATTGAGTTTTGTGTCAAAATCTTAGAATAAATCATCGAAGGAATAAAATAATTATATTTTGAAACTTTATAAAATAGGAATTTGGGAAAAATATTTTGGGTTGTCACAGAACTGACCCACTGGGCGTGCCAATTTGTGAACAAAGAAAATTGAATAAAATATATTAATATTCAAAATTCTGAGTAACATTGAGTATCAATGCGGTGTGGGTATAAGTCTCTGAATGGTCCTCTGATTCTTCAATTGGAACACTCCACCACTGAAGGGCCTTCGGAATTCAAGTGGCTTGATCTTCAAAGAAGGGCTTGTATATATAGTTTGTTCTTCGTTGAAGGGCCTCCGGGTTCAAATGTCTTGATATTCAATGGAGGTTTGGATCAACAGGCATGATTGGAGGGAGGGACTTTTACTTTCAGGATCACAATCTCTGAATAATATTTTCAGGATGTTTACATGATTATTTATAGCTGTAGGATAGAAGAGTTTTGGTCGGAGTGTGGGGGCCCTTAGGGTTGGGGATTCAGCCTTTTGGGGTAAGGATAGAAGAGTTTTGATAAGTTCAAACTCTTTTGATATTATCTAATTAACAAATTAGATCATATCAATATTATCCAAAATATTTCAAATATATTAATATGAATAAATAATCATATTTATCAAAATTTCAGTGTCAACAGATTGGTAGAAAAATCACGTGCTGCTAGGGCTTAGATACTACTCGCTGGGCTTGGAATTCCAGTTAGGGGGTTTGCACACTTAAGTTATGATCTTGATTCCATTATGTATGTTTCGTGGGTGAGATTGAGATTAGGCCGGTTATGCGTAACTGTGCCCGAATGGGTTCGTTCACGTATGGTGAAGTCCTACCTCTGCACCATTATGATGATGATTCAGATATGATTATTGTTACAGACTTACAGTTATGATCCATGTGATCGATTTAGTTACCTCCCGTAGTATTATTAAATAAAATGTTATTTTCTTGAGTGTGAGATTATCTATATGAAATGATTTCTACTTATATTTTTGAAGGCTATCTCATCTTGATAACTCTTTTACTCGTGAATATCATTGAATGCAAATATGATCTAATCTCTCAATTTTACTCATGTTAGAGATTTAATGACAGCATTACATCTATTTCCACTCTCATTGCTTTTCAAGTATACCTACCCTTACTTATTCGTCATCTTTAAATCGCATCTTTGTATAAGTTGTATTAGTGAGTATTTATTATCTGTCTGATCATGAGCGTGAGTTGAGTTATGTCTTTGTTATATACTCTTAGCTATGTTAATATCTGACCTATCTATATCTACACTTGTATGATCCTATTCAATCCTATGTGTGTTGATACGTGTTAATATCAACTACTATTTTCCAAACCTATATTATTTTATAGGGTTGAGTGAGTTTTATTTAGCAATTTATGCTAAAGGGTTACTTTTCCTTGTTTTCTCGATAACCCCTTTCAGATTTGGATTGATGCCTGACGAGAGCACGTTTAGAGGCTTTATCTTGATAGCTTTATTGTTTTAGTTTGACTTTAGTTAGTAACCCTTTGAGACCAGTGTTATGTTTCATTGATAATGATGTGACCTTTAAGTCTTTTGTTTATAGACTTGAATAGATGTTAATGAAGTTAACATTTTAGATTGCTTTGTGTAGTGGAATGGTTATGAAATTTTAAGTTAATCTTTTATTGAGTTGTGGGTTGTTTAATGAATAGAAGTTTGGCCTGTCTAACCTTTATTTTTTAATATTGATTAAGTTAATTGGGATCTTAGTAGTTTAGCATGGTAGCCATCCAAGAATGGGTGGCTACGGTGGTAGCATTCCCCATTTAGTGTTTTTGTTCTGTGGTGTAAGATTGTAATCTATATATGCTCTAGTGTTAGAAAACAGGGATGTTACAGACGCACATTAAGCACACAAACCACGCATCTTAAAAAGGACACAATTTGACATTTTGACAACAAATAGTTTTGAATCTTTCAACAATATACTAAAGGGTTGTCTAATGTTACTTGTCACTGCTATTGCCCGACTGACTTTCCAAAAATTAGTGGCTATGTTTTAAAACAGGCATTCCACCGGTGAGTTAATGCAACAAGCTGGATTGCGTTGGCCAACCAATGTTGATAAGGAGATGTCCGCTCTGGAACGGTACAAGTACAATGCAACCATTTGCTCATATAACAACCAAAGAGGGATATATGATGTAGCACTTGAATCAACTTCCAGTTCTCTGGGACAACCACACTATGTTAAGGTAAATTTGACTGACCTGACATATAGTTGCGGTCGTTGGGCTGTAGATGGATTACCTTGTGCACATGTCATTGTCGCATGCCATTATAGAGGGGATTGTCCTGGACTCCTTTGTGCCACAAGTCTTCTCGTTAGAGTATTACATAATGAATTATGCAGGAAACTTGAATCCATTGCCAGATGATGAAGTTCAGCAGCGCCCACGTGCATGCCACCATTAAGTGCCTGCCGAAAAGCTCATTGAGGTCAACAACGTAGAAGTCGATTTCCTAATGAAATAGACTTTGGTAGTTACGGTCATTGATGACGGTATGTCCTCTATGTAATCTATTGCTCCTTTGTTAATATAAATGTTATGAAAATTTACAATATAGTTGCACTAATTACACATTTATAATTATCAAGTTCACCGCAATACAAATAATGAAATAAATAAATAAATATACAATAAAAATATTTAAAAATCATGCAATCCATCATACTACAAATGACTATTTAAAATAAAAAATCTTTGTTTATGTTATTGTTTTTGTTGGTCCCGATAGAAAGAGATGAGAGTCTAGAGGGGGGGGGGGGGGTGAATAGACTCTTTTCGTTAGAAGCCCTAAGCGTCACCTTTCGGTGTCTTGGCGCAGCGGATAAGATAGATTTGTTTTAGATACTTTACACGAGTTTGTGTAATTAGACAAACTTTCGGTAAAGATAATAAAGGAATGATATGAATGCAAAAAGAAAGCGTAAGTAAAGAGTTAGAGGGGACACGAGATTTTATAGTGGTTCAGCCAATGTTGCCTACTCCACTCTTCTTCCACAACTGTTGGAAGGATTGCACTATCACTCTTAGTACAAGTACACAAAGACTTCCTTGATCACTAAGCCGGACAGCCTTCGTAGGTTTTTCAACTCCTCGAGTTTACTCCGCCTCTATCAACTTCTTCTCCTGAGTTGAGGTTGGTAGAAAATGATTTCTTGTATTCTCCAACGATGAAGTCTTGACTCTGAGATATGATTGCTTCAACTGATATCAAGACTTCCTTGAGGTGTGAGACAAATGATTCTTCAAGTAACTTAGCACCTCAAAACTGGTTCACAAAAGCTTTTAGTGAATTGTAGACTTTTCAAGAGCTTTTGTAAGAGAGTAAGTCGAGTGATAATGAACCAGCACCTTCTTAGCTGATGAAGGTGGGTTTTTATAGGTGATGAAAATTCATCCGTTGGAGGGAGATGAAGTTTTCAAACCCTTTAACCATTGGACAAGGACCGGGGAGCTTCATGCATTAAATGCTCCATTAATGAGGTTGTACCATGTAGCCGTTGAAGGTATGGAAAGCATTAGGATTTGTCTTTTAGCTCCAGGAGATGGTACATCTTCATTTAATGCCTTTGAAAAGTGTGCCCCATAAGATGAAGTCCTTATTGTCCTAGGATGTTGTCAAATCAGACAGGTGGAACATTCTTCTCGTTGTTGAAGAGAAGTAATGCTTGGTAAAGATCGTCTTTAACAAAAACTGTCCTTTCGTGCTTGTTGACAACTCCTGCTTGACTTTCGTTGTTCTTCATGTCTCGTGTCTTCTTTCGCCTTGGAGATCCTAACATCTAGTCATAACTCATTTTCGTGTGTTTGTCTAGCTTAACACGAATTACAGAGGAGTTATGGCAACTCTCGTCTAGGACGAAAGCAGCGATTAAAAAGAACTAAAGGTTAGGGGTCTACTTTTGTACATTACATTGGTATCATCAAAATCCTAATACAAT